AGTTTGAGGTTTAGGGTTTGGGATTTCGGGTTGGGTCTGTTAACTTTTCACGATTTTGTAGTTACGTTAATCATGGTGGTGCTGGTACGGATAGTAACAACAACAATATAATGATGATAGTAAGAATACTAGTTATAAGAATAGCAAGAATAACAATATCCCTAAACCCTAAACCCTAAACCGGTAGTATTGATATTGGCGGAAAGGTGGACTTGAAGGTTTCGAGTTTTGGGGGTGTTACTGCAGCGCGATGCAAGTAAACGCTTGAAGGTGCAGGCTGTAAGATCCGAGAGTGCCCAAACCTACAACCTACACCATAAACCCGGAACCTGAACCCTAAACCCTAAACCATAAACATGGATCTCCACTTCTCAGAATCCCCACACCCTAAACCCTAAACCCTGAAATCCTAAACGCTAAACCTTAAACCCTAAACCCTAAACCCGAAACCCTGAACCCGAAACCCTAAACCCGAAACCCTAAACCCTCAACCAGCACAGCCAAAAACGCCAAAAATCACGAAAACCGAAACCCCTAGCCCCACATCCGAAGCCTTAACCCTGAATCCTAAAACCTTCACCCTGAACCCTAAGCCCTAAATCCTAAACCCGAAATCCTAAACCCTAAACTCTGAAATCCTAAACCCTAAACCCTGAACCCTTAAACCCTAAATCCTAAACCCTAAACCCTAAACCCGAAACCCTAAACCCTAAACACTTAAGCCTTGTTCTTGTGCTCGTAGCCCTGGCCTTTAGGAGTGCCAAGGCCGAGTCGACGGCAGCCTGCAGGTTTCGAGGGTTTAGGGTTTAGGGTTTAGGGTTTAGGGTTTAGGGTTTAGGGTTTAGGGTTTAGGGTTTACTTCCAGAAAGCTGGAACATGGGCTTAGGAGGATTAGTGCGAGGATCCGGTTTAGGGTTTAGGGTTTGGGGTTTGGGGTTTAGGGTTCAGGGTTTAGGGTTTAGGGTTAAGGGCATTATGCTTTACCTTCAGGGCATTAGAATAATGATGTTCCAACTTTCTTAGGATATTTCCTGAACCAGGAGTTAGGATTTGGGGGACCCTTGGGGATATAGACACTCAATAAGGTCCCTTTGAAGCGAGCCAGAAGTAGGGTTAAGAAGGATCCCCTCTAAGGGGTCTCCCTAATACTACTTAGGATTAACGAGCTCCTTGTCATAAGGGTGCCGCAAGGGCTTTAGGATATTTCATTTAAACATTCCTTGAGGGTGCTGTAGTGGAGCAACAAGGCTCCTTCAGGGCGCTACAAGGGTACAGAAAAGGCTTAGAGTCTCGGGCTGTTGGTTTGATAGTGGGGTTGCAGACACTCGAGGTACCTTCATTTTAGGATCCATGAGAATAAGGATCTTGCCGTTAATGCTGTTATAGTAAGGCCCACCTGACATTGGAGATTCCCATACAGGGTGGCGTTGGATTGTTAGGTCGAGGGGTTAGATGTTTGGGGTTTAGAGCCTGAGGTTCAGGGTTGAGGAAAAGTCCACTCTCGGTTCGTCTGACAACAGCCCTTTAGTAACCTTTATGACAAGAAGAAACCCTAAACCCCCGAACCCTAACCCTTAAACCTAACCCTAAACCCCTAAACCCCTAAACCCTTAACCCTGAACCCTAAACCCTAAACCCCTAAACCCTGAACCCTAAACCCTTAAAGGTCCTGGCGCAGGTCCGATGGCCTTCGCTGCTGCACTTTCGTCTCGAGTTTGGATCTTCTTTGCTTCGCTGCGACGACTGGAGACTTCGTCAGCCTTCGCTGCCTCAACCTGGGTTCGTGGTTTGGGGTCAGGAGCTTGGGGCTCAAGGGTTCGATGGTTGAGGGGTTTAGGGGTTTAGGGGTTTAGGGGTTTTGAGGGCTTTGGGGTTTTGGGGTTTTTGGCTTGGGGTTAGGGTGGTTTAGGCTGACCTGCGACACTGAGACTGATAGTGCAAATGGAATGAATTAGACTAAGGAACTGTCTGTAGTTCCAGTGCCAGCAGCAGTCGCAGTGGCAGCAGCAGTAGCGGTAGGAGCAGTAGTAGTAGTAATAGCAGTAGGAGTAGTAGTAGGAGTAGTAGTAATAGCAGTAGCAG